GTAACTGCTCTCACTCAATAAATAAAAGTATTAAAAAAAAGGGGAAAAAAGTAAGGTGGAGTTCATACCTAATTCAATCAGCCTAATCAATGGTTGAATAAACAGCAATACTCCTACATAAAAAAATAAAATCCGGGGGTATGGTGCCGCCAGCAGGTCAATCTGTACCTGTGAGGCGAGTGCATCAGCAGCCTCATGGCGCCTTCAGACTTCCAGATACCCCAAAATTGCTGCTGTGCCTTTGGCCAGACCCCAAAAACTTGGGGCAAAGTTTACCAAGAAAGTAAACGGCCAAAAGTTAGGTATGTGGGAAACACACCCACAAACCACCTCCGGCTCAGCTATATAATTGGAGGCAAGGCCTCTTTGGTTCCTGATTGAAATGCTTAATGGACATGATCCCAGAGACTCAGAAACGAATCTCAGAACCCAGTGGCTTTAGGTAGAAATGCGTCTGGTCTCTGCAGTAGGCTACCGGTGCTGGGCCAATCCAGGTGGGAATAGGTTTCGTGCCTTGGCCTACTCCCCCTGGCGGCCCAGTGGCCGCCATCCATCTGAGGCCACTGGATAGTCACACTTGGGCCCCCAGTGATGAGACACACAGGGCCTCACGGGATGAGGGTGGAGCCGGGCTTGTCCTCCCCCACCCCAACGAGACCCCAAGTCATCGCCCACGAATGGCCTCTCTAGCTCCTGATCAAGCTGCTTAACAGCCATGATCCCAGAGACTCAGAAACAAATCTCAAAACCCAGTGGCGTTTGGCAGAAATGCATCCGGACTCCACAGTACGTTACTGTCGCCGGGCCACCCCAGGGAGGAAAGGGTGTTGTCCCTCCGCCTGCTCCCTCTTGGCGACTTGGTGGATGTCATCCTCCAGAGGCTATTGGACAGTCAGGATTGGGCCCGCAGTGACGAAACTTGTTGGGTCTCACGGGATGGGTGGGAGGTGGAGCCGGGCCTGTCCTCCCCACCCTAACGAGACCCCAAGTCATCGCCCACAAACGGCCTCTCTGGCTCCTCATCAAGCTGCTCAATGGCCTTGATCCCAGAGACTCAGAAACAAATCTCAAAACCCAGCGGCTTTTGTCAGAAATGTGTCCGGACCCCGCAGTAGGTTACTGTCACCAGGCCACCCCAGGGGGGAATGGGTGCTGTCCCTCCACCTGCTCCCTCTTGGCGACTTGGTGGCTGTCACCTTCCAGAGGCCATTGGACAGTCAGGCTTGGGCCCGCAGTGACGAAACTTGTTGGGTCTCATGGGATGGGGGGGGAGGTGGAGCCGGGCCTGTCTTCCCCACCCCAATGAGACCCCAAGTCATCGCCCACGAATGGCCTCTTTGGCTCCTCATCAACCTGCTCAACGGCCATGATCCCAGAGACTCAGGAGCAGATCTCTAAACCCAGTGGCTTTTGGCAGAAATCCCTCCAGATTTAAGTGTTAAAATTTCAGAACTTCAAAACCACATGGCCCTACTGCAGCCACACGACATCATATGTTATTCATAACCAGCAATAGAACACAAATTGTCTATTGTTGCCTTTTCAGCAGATCTGAGTGTTGGGGTAAAATCTCAAATAATGGTGGGTCTGGTGAATATGATCAAAGTAGTGAATGTGATCAAAGTAGTGAATAGTGAATGTGATCAAAGTAGAGAGAGAGTAATGTGGAAATCATCTGCCCCACAGGCAGGGGGAGGGTGTGGGATGGGGGTATACTGGGATTTTTGGTGGTGGAGAATGGGCACTGGTGAAGGTACGGGTGTTTCATTGTATGACTGAGACTTAGACCCAAAAGCTTTGTAACTGCTCTCACGGTGATTCAATAAATAAAATTATAAAAAATGGAAAAAGAAAAAAAATAAGGTGGAGTTCATGCACAATTCAATCAGCTAATCAGTGGCTGAATGAATAGCAGTACTCCTACAAAAAAAGAAAAAATAAATAAAAAATAAAATCTTAGAATTCCTGGAGCACGCAGCTGCATTTGTGCTTGTGCAACATCTCATACTTTACACCACTGATGTACCAAGAGTAGTACACCACATTTGATGGGGTGTAAAGTAGAAGCTAACCAATCTTGATTATATTTTATATATATATGCATATTTGTTAGCTATATATATGCTTATATATATGTTAGCATACAAGACTCAACCTTTAACACCTTGTTAGTAATCTCTTATACAAGGGCTTAATGTCTCCAGGGTAAAATACAATTTTCACACACTTTTCTCAAAGGAAACTTTTTTGGATCATATTTTGCAGGTTATTCATAACAAGAAATACAAAATAAATTATTTAGGTCCACTCTGGGGGCAGACTTTGGGTCTTGGGGTGGAAAATTTTGAAATATGGTATGGGAAGGTATAAAGGTGGTGGGATTGGTGTTGGAATATTGAATGTATTAAATTACTGTGAACAACTTTATAAAAATAAAAAGTTTTTAAAGTGTTAATGAGGGCTGGAGAGAGACCACAGCAGGTAGAGCATTTGCCTTGCACGATGCCGACCCAGGTTCAATTCCCAGCATCCCATATGGTCCCCTGAGCACCGCCATGAGTAACTCTTGAGTGTAGAGCCAGGAGTAACCCCTGTGCATCACTTGGTGTGACCCAAAAAGCAAAAAAAAAAAAGTGTTAGTGAGAAAAAATAGAGTCCAAACTGAAGGGAGAAACAAACCTCACCAGGTGGTTTCCAGGACATTTGATATCACTGATCTTACTCTGGGAGCTCTTGCATAAGTGCTCTAGTGAAGCCAGAAGGACAGTGGAGAGGGTGGAGCACTTGCCTTGCACGGCTTGTTTGATGGGCACCCCATAGGATTCCCTAAGCCCTGATCCCTGAGCACTGATGGGTGGGCTCCCAATAACCTAAAACAACAACAACAACAATAAAACATTGTTTTAAAAGGGATAAGTCTGATTCTAATGCATATGTTTTATAATTTAAGGGTGGGGTAGAGGGGATGTAGTGAGTTTGAGTTTGATGACTGACATAGGTTGTGATGTGCTGGTGGGCATCTAAAAACAGGAATGAGAGGGAGGAATTATTTTGCTTAAGGCAGATAATACAGACAGTGCATGGCAATGGGGACAGCATTTGTGCTGTAAAGTAATTTGAGTGGTTTAGAGGAATTTCTGTTATATCAAGAGAAAAATGGTTCAGGAAAATTTCAATCATGAAGACACTAGCAGGAGCTTGTATGGTACCTTCCGTGGAAACTTCCATACAGTCGTGTGCTGGGCAGAGAGCTCGTCCTCAGGCTCCAGCTTCCTAGGCAGCAGCATACAGAAGACATACGATTATTTCTTTTGTTAACATTTTGTGTTTGTTTTGTGGTCACACCTGGTGATACTCAGAGGGTACTCAGGTACTTCACTCAGGAATCACTCCTGAGGTTTTCAGGATTGACCTCAGGTCAAACACGTGCAAGGCTTACCTGCTGTACTCTCAGGCACACCCAATTTTATTTCTTTTTTTCTTTTTCTTTTGGTTTTGGGTTGCACCCAGCTGTGCTCAGGGCTATCACCTGGCTATGCACTCAGGGATCACTTCTGGTGGTCTTGGGGGACCACATAGAGTGCGAGGGATCAAATCCATGTTGGCCACATACAAGGAAAGCACCTACCTGCTATTGCTATGGTCTTTCTTTTGGTGTGTGTGTGTGGGGGGGGGGGGAACCTAGCAGTGCTCATGGCTCACTCCTGGCTCTGCACTCAGGAATCACTCCTGGAGAGGCTTGGGGGACCACACAGGATGCTGGGGATTGAACCTGGGTTGGCTATGTGCAAGGCAAACTCCCTACCCATGCTAACTATTGTTCTGGTCCCTGGTCCTGTCATTTCTAACATACTCTGAAATAGAGACACTAACCTGAAGAAAAAATTACCAGCAGCATAGTTTCGCAGCCAGTGAGTGCGTGAAGTTTCTTTTGCTATGCACTCACGCGCCAACTGAATGAGGGTCAATTCCATGATATTATGATTTTCAGAAACAGTGAATAAAATTCAAATTTAAAATTTAAAAACTATATATAGCCATGGGCTGGAGCAATAGCACAGCGGGTAGGGTGTTTGCCTTGCACGCGGCCAACCTGGGTTCGATTCCTCCACCCCTCTCAGAAAGCCCGGCAAGCTGCTGAGAGTATTCCACCGCACAGCAAAGCCTGGCAAGCTACCCATGACATATCAATATGCCAATAACAGTAACAAGAAATCTCACAATGGAGACGTTACTGGTGCCCACGGAGCAAATCGATGAACAATGGGAGGACAGTGCATATAGCCATAGTCCTCACTTTCATCTTTGGGTTAAGAAGAAGTTTATTAACTTTTATTATGGAACTGAATCTACATATCTCAGTTTATCGGTTTCTGATTATACAAAGTTTCTCAAAGTTAAATTTCTCCTCAATCCGAGAACTGAGCCCTACCGTCCAAAGGCTAATAAGACACTCTAGGAAGTGTGATTTCGTTCACCCCTATGTATCTGGTGTGGCGTTCTGACAGTTGCCTGTCTCTGTGATCTCACTTCGCTGTGGTCTATAGAATATTGGACAAGGAAATGCACTATTATGAAATCACCCTTGACCCCAGTGTTTAGAAAGAAGGTCAAGAGAAAGAAAGAAACCAAGGGGGAGGGAAGAAAGAATAGGAAGGCATCAAGGCTTAGGTTATACTAGTGACATGGGTGAATGGTTATATCCAAAACACAGACTCAACAACACTAGAAACATGAGATCTAAGCTTCAATCACTGTAATGCGCTTGTCAAGTTGACTGGTAGGGATAGGGCAGGGGTTGAGCTAGGGAAGGAATATGGGGAGAGTAGGAAGAAAAGTTGACACTGGTAGCGGAATTGGTATTGAAATATTATATGCCTAAAATGCAACTATCAATAACTTTGTAAATCACAGTTCTTTAATTAAAAAATTAAACCAAAAAGGAAAAAAATGTCGCCTGTCTCCGTGGCTCCTGAGAAAGGCTGTAGGGGTGAGGCGTGGAACTCAGCAACTGTCTCTTGTGTGCGTGTCTGAGAATGAGGGCTCAGCCACAGTCTTTTCACCAACTTCAGCACATGAAATACAAAGAATGTTGAGTGTGGGTCCAAATCAGCAGGAACTTTGAGCAGTTATTACACAAAGCAACGAATCAAACTGGAAAGGTCTAAGGTCTAAGGGCCCTACAGTGGGGGTTGGGAAACGTGGCCCATGGCCAGCAGCAGCACTGACCCAGTGACCTACACAGGACAGTCCCCGCTGCCAGCCACACTTGCACTCACGAAGAGCCTTCCACAGGGCAGGGCTGTGTGCATGACAGGGTGTAGTCTCGCGTGTACACAGGGAGCAAAACTCAGATGCTTATTTACACCACAGAAAGCAAACAAGGGGCCCTAGGAACGGTTAGGGAACGTGTCAAGCTTTATTTTCAACTGTCAAAAACTGTAGCTCATGGATTCATTGGATGAACATTTTTCCTAGCCACGTTTAATCTCCCATTAAACACACACACACACACACACACACACACACACACACACACACACACACTGCTTTGTACCTACACTCCCTGTTTTAATTTTAACTGCACATTCTTGTAACTGCACATGGACTCACAGAATTTCTTTTAAGAGAAAGTTCAAATATTTACTGGCATGTAATAGTTGCATGCTTTCTTTGTTAAAATTCCTTTCCACAGACTATTTTTCTCATATTTTCCCTGAAAGGAAGCAACAGGGATCTGTGTACCATTTAGAACAAGCACAAAATACCTTTCGAAAAAAACCTAGGTTTGACCTGCTACACTTTCCTTTGACTGTGCAGCTTTACAAGGCATTTGGTGCCAGTCTCCCACCTGCCTATTCCCACATAGCGAGGGCTCCTGCAGGCTCAGAGCTGCTAGCTGTGACTGGTCATGACACTGCCTGACAGTTGGGCCTTCACAGGCAATTTCAGAAACTCGAATGTATGGACGTGCTCAGAATCTTTTTTGTGTGTGTGTGAAATTTGGCAAATATCCCAAATGAAATTCAACTGGCAGTTGAAGGAGCAATCAGAGAGAATGCTAAGTGTGCCGGCTATGCCCCAGCTCTTTGCAGAGCCCGAGAAAGGGGGGGCCTCAGGACACTGTGCTTGGTCTCCAGGAGAGACAGGCCCTATGGAGAGCACCAACAACAGCACCTACACCCCTCCAGCGCCTTGTCCACCTCTGCCTTCACCTTCAGACTCTCCCTGCCTGCTGATCTGAGGTTTGAGGGGTTCACAAAAGGTTCTTACAATACTTGCCAGAGCCTCTAGATGGCCAAGTCGCTGTTCCGGGCCCGCCCACTGCTGCCCTTGCTGACCTGGCCCGGGTCAGGCAGAGTAAGGGGCGGCCTATGCATCTGCAGCGTGCCCACAGCCCGCGGCTCCGAGCCCTGCGACTCCAGCACCAGCACGGGAACCGGCTCTTGAGCCCCCCCCTCCCAGGGCCGCAGCGGGGTGCTGCCTAGGGGCGCTGGAAGCCCAGGGACGGGTCCTGGCAGGGAAGCCCTCCTGGTCATGCTCCGCCGCCCGGCCTCCTGGCTGGCCTGGCTCTGCTCAGGCACGAGCAGGTGGACGCTGCTGGAGAAGCTGGCAGCGTGGCCCCTGCCCGGCCCCTGGGACAAAGTCAGCATCTTGAGGTCTGCGGCTGGGGGCGGCGGGTCCCCAGCGTGAGTGTAGGAGGGAGGCAAGCCTGGGGTCTTGGCCAGGAGGGCGGAGGGCAGCAGGGGGATGGCCCCCGCGGGCCTGGGGGGCGCCTCCGGGACGTACTGATTGGTCACGCCCTGCTTGAGCTTCTTCCAGCCCAGGTGGTAGATCTCCAGCACATTGAGCAGCAGCGACACGCAGGCCACCGCGAGCATGAAGATGATGAAGACGGTCTTTTCGGTGGGCCGGGAGATGAAACAGTCCACGGTGTTGGGGCAGGGCCAGCGGTCGCAGTGGAACAGCGGCTTCAGGCGGAAGCCATAGAGGCAGTACTGGCCGGCAATGAAGCCCACCTCCAGCAGCGTGCGGAGGAGGACGTTGAGCACGTAGGTGCGCAGCAGGGCGCCGGCCAGGCTCGACCGGCGCTGCCCCGGGGGGTAGCCGGGGGGTGCCCGCGCGTGCGGCTCACGCCGGGAGCCCACGCGGGCCAAGTGCAGCACATGGCCCAGGTACACGAGGGTGGGCGTGGACACGAAGATGATCTGCAGCACCCAGAAGCGCACGTGCGAGATAGGGAAGGCCTGGTCATAGCAGACGTTCTCGCAGCCCGGCTGCTGCGTGTTGCACTTGAAGTCCGACTGCTCGTCGCCCCACACCTCCTCGGCCGCCGCGCCCAGCACCAGGATGCGGAAGATGAACAGCACCGTCAGCCACACCTTGCCCACTACCGTCGAGTGCTCCTGCGCGCTCTCCAGCAGCCGACCCAGCAAGCTCCAGTCCCCCATGGCCCTCCACGGCTCAGCTGCAAGGGAACATGCCCCGTCTGAGCCCGGGACAGAGCCCAGGCCCCACCCGAGGGCCCCTGGAACACCTGAGGGCTCCTCTCCCTCTCGAGAGGTGGGACAGAGCCCGGGACAGAGCCCAGGCCCCACCCGAGAGCCCCTGGAACACCTGAGGGCTCCTCTCCCTCTCGAGAGGTGGGACAGAGCCCGGGACAGAGCCCAGGCCCCACCCGAGGGCCCCTGGAACACCTGAGGGCTCCTCCCCCTCTCGAGAGGTGGGAGGAGGGTGGGGGGCGCAGGGGAACTGCCGGGCCCTGGGCTTCCTTCCCGGAGACCTGCTCCAGCACGAGAGAGCCTCTGGTGTTGAGTTCTCGCTCACAGAGAAGAAACCAGTGCCCTTCCTCCGTTCCGCCTCTTTCCCGATGACTGGCCCCAGAGGACGCTGGCCTGTGCGGACAACTGGGGCCAGTCCTAGCCCCAGTTCCCAGCTCACTGCTCCTGGGTCAGCCAGCAGAGCACAACTGCCACCACACCTGCACAGTGCCGGCCTCCTCCACCACTTCCTGTTTCACTTTGCAATTACACAAATATGTTTGTCAGCAAACATACACGTATGTTACATCCATGAATGAATGTTACACAGATCACACGACAGAAACATACGCTCACTGCGGGTGGCCCTGAAAATCATTCAGGAATGCAAGGAAAGTTGCAGGACACCGCAGGACACCACAGGGCGGCCAAACGACCCAGCCACGGGCTCCATACTTACAAGAGAGCGAACTCCTGCTTGTCCAAGGGCGGTGCTCTGCTGCTCCAAAAGCTACGGGGCATTCCGAAGCCAAAAACTGCAAATAAAGAATTTAGGAGGTGAGCCACGAGGAAGTAGCCATGCCATAGTGATGAAACCCAAAAGCCAAAAATCCACTGGAATCCATTAAAAGTGACTCTGTACATTTTCCACGCACATAGAAAAAAAGATCACCGAACATCAACTTTGGTGTTTCTGAGGAAGGATGATTTTGTCTTCTTTTCAGATTCACCTGCATTACCCAGAAAAAACTCACATGCTGCAGTGCAAAGCTAGTGACCACATCTTTTATTTTTGAAGTCCTACCCACAGTTGTCAGAAGTGATGCAGAGCTTAAATTGCATAACATCTGGGGATGGAGCGATAGTACAGCAGTAGGGCACTTGCCTTGCACATGGCTGTCCCAGGTTTGATCCCCGGCATGCCATATGCTCATCCAAGCCTGCCAGAAGTAATTCTCGAGTGCAGAGCCAGGAGTTGGCCCTGAGCACAGCTAGTGTGGCCTAAATTCCTCCCCTACCCCAGAAACCTAACAAAAATAAAATAAATTGCATAACATTCTTCTGCCCTGGTTCCATCCACTGCCAACCACCCCTTGCCCCCGTACTAAGTGCCACCAGGCAGGGTTGCATACGATTCTGCCTTCCACTGAGCCTGATATGCTGCTATAGTACATGTTGTGGGTATGGCTTTATCTTGAAAAATCGCACAGATGAACAAATGAAAAAAATTAGTTGGGAGCCAGAATATTGACAGGAAGTTAGCATTCTGAGTCAAGATCAGAGCAAAAAGGGACAGCTCGTCCAAATGACACCTCTTCGTCTTCAGCAGTCAGCCTTAGTTGAGTTGGAAATACCAGCAGGGGCGTGAAGCCATGCAGTGAGGTGAAACTTTGCAGGTGATATAGCATGAAGCAAAGGTGTGACAAATGAAGGCTTAGACCCATGGTACTGGGATGAGAAAGCAGATGAGACAGACACAGGAGATGAAAAATCAGTGGGCCAGAAAGATAGCTCAGTGGGTAAGGGACTTGCCTTGCTCCGGTGCCCGGCAATATCCTTGGCACCACATATGGTCCCCTGAGCACCACCAGGAGTGAACCCTGAGCACAGAGCTGGGAAGAAGCCCTGAGTACTACCAGGTTTGGTTCCCCCCAAAACCCAAACAACAAAACAACAACAACAACAAAAAACAACCCCCTCCAAAAAAAAAAACCACACTTTTTTTCTCATAAATGAATTGGGTCATGTTCAACACGAATAGCTCCTGATGTGACTTGATCGTTTGCCTTACATGAGGCATGTGATCTGATGAGGGAATTCTGCACACTTGGTCGCTTGCTCACTAAGTGCTTTTGGGGTTTACCAATGGAGAATGAGGACAACTGGATCACAGAGAATGGGGTACCAGACATTAGTTATCCCCAGGAGTTGGTATTTGGTTGCTTTTTGTTTCTAGCTCCACGAACACTTGATGTTGATACTATCACAGAACAAACAAGCTCTTTGCTGTTGTTATTGTTTTTTTGCCATTCCCAGTGGTGTTCAAGACTGCTGGCTCTGCTCTCGGGGATCAGTCCTGGTGGGGCTCAGGGAATTGTATGTAGTGTTGGGGATCCAATCCAAGTCAGCCGCCTGCAACGTAAGCACCCTACCTGCTGTACAAGCCCCACAATCAAGGTCTTATGTTCCAAAGATTAAGGGGCTGCTTTTATGATCTCCTGACAGTTGTACCATTTCTCCTGGATCTGCAGGATATGTTGAGTTTTTCCTTCAAATCAATTGATTTACATAAAACTTAACAATAATGACTTGATCAACTCTGAGCTACAGATTCTGCTGGTATAGAAGGAATAAAATCATGGCCTATACTTTGAAATCAATTTGTGGTGAGGATAAAACTCAGGGAAATGTAAACTATAAAATATATACATGCAGAGGGTTTTCATAGCAAAAGAATATCAATATTACACTGTGAGGCCAGAGAGGGTGAGTGAACAAGAACTGAACCTGAGCTGGATCAGAGGCCCCAATTTTGGACAGGACAGAGGGAGTCAGGAAAGCACTTCAAGACCAAGGAGTCCCCAAGGAGTTGGGGATGTATGCAAAGTGAAGGGCCTCAGTTGGAAAGTAGAGAATTTAAAAGGTGCTTATGTGATTTGGGTATCCTCCTTTAACACCTTGCATTCTCTCGTCCAGTTTATTCTATATAAGTGAGTTCATCCTGTGTTTGTCCTTCTTCTGACTTACTTCACTCAACATGATATTCTCCAGCTCCATCCAAGTTGCAGTGAATTGCATGCTTTCATCCTTCCTGCAACTGCGTAGTATTCCATTGTATATACAGACACGACAACACTATCTATGCATCTGTGGCTGGATATCTAGCTTGGCTATTGTGCTAAGTGCTGCTTTGAATAATGATGGGCAACTGTTCCTTGAATTAATTTTTTGTTTGTCAAGGTGATAGGCTGGTGTGCGGTAGGGAAATCGGGCACACTGGTACAGGAAAGTTGATATAGGGCATGATTGGTGCTGGAACACTGTATGCCTGAAAGTTAACTATGAATAACTTTGTAAATCACGGTGGTTTAATAAAAAACAAACACACTTGGGCACTGGAGCAATAGTACAGTGGGTAGGGCTTTTGTCGTGCATGCACGTAACCTGGGTTTAGTCCCCAGCTCTACATATGGCCCCCTGAGCCTGCCAGGAATGATCCCTGAGCACAGAGCCAGGAGTAAACTCTGAGCACTGCCGGATGTGGCCTAAAAGCCAAAAAAATTAATTAATTAAAAAAATTTTATAGGAGAATAGGAGTATCAGGGGAGAACTCCAAGGACTGGAGTGTGTCTTGCAGGTGTGAGGCCCCAGGTTTAGAGTCTGTTACTGCTCTACCTGCGCCCCCACACCTACCCCTAAGGCCTTGCATGACTGGGTCCTGTCTTTCAGATGGGGAGGACCCTCTCTTCCACCACACAGCTTGGCAGGGCAGAACCAGACTCAGCCCATACTTTGTAGTTGGCAGAACCTGCCTGAGCCCGTACTTTGCACTCGACAGCTATTCAGTGAGCGATGGAGCATGGACAGCGGGCTGCAGAGGCAGGGTGCTGAGAGTCTGTGGGGGAATGGCCGCTCGCAGGCTCAGGGAGTTGAGTGAGTGTTGAAGGTCTGGCCACGTACCAGGACAGGCCAGTGAAAAAAGGGGAGACAGAAAGGAGACACGTTCTGGAGACAAAAATAAAGCAGAACACAGTGTCTGAGCAAGTGCAGAGCATAAGCAGGGGCTGGGGAAAAGGCACCTTCTGCTGTCCCTGGGGTGAACAATAGCCTGAGCTGGGAAGAAAAGTGGGGCTGGGGATGGGCTCCAGTTTATGGAGTGAACCATGAAAATGGCCAGAGAGCACTGGGGTAGGGTCTGCAGGGTAGCACCTCCCATACACACTCTCATACTCTCACACACATGCTCACATTCATGCACACACATTCACATATATATACACTCTCATACACTCACACACGTACATAGACACACATACATGCGCATCCTCACATACACTTAAACAGACTCACATATACATGTACACACTCACATACACTCACACCCATACACACACACATGCACAAACACACAAATACACTCATACACACATTTGTACACACTCACATTCACACACATGTATACACTCACACACACACACTCACACACACATGTACACACTAGCATACACTCTGGGTGGGAAAAGGCAAAGATCTATGCCCAGAGATGGTGGAAGATCCAGTGGGTGAGCTGAAAGCAAACAGCGATGCCAGATCTGTGAGGCGGCACAGGGGAGGCACTTGCCTTGCATGCGGCCGACCGGGTCAGTCCCCAGCACTTCAGATGGTCCCTGAGCCCTGCCAGGAGTGATTCTGAGCTCAGAGCCAGGAGTAAGCTCTGAGCACTGCTGGGTGTGGTGCCTCCCCAGAAAGGAAAATTTAAAAGGAGAAACAAACGATGCAGAGGAGCCCTTGACATGTGAGACGAGCTACTCAGTCCACACTGCGTGAGGAGCCGTGTGACCTGACAAAGGGCTGTATGTAGTCCAGGCCCGAGAGCAGCCCCAGAGATCATGCACACACATTCACATATATATACACTCTCATACATTCTCATCCACGCTGCAACCATGCACTCATCCACAATGCTGTAGTATTAGGTTTTGGGAATTTATGCTCTGAAAACTTTGTCCTTGACATTCTCTTTCCTTTTCTCTGATTTGAGGTGGCTCCCAAATCTATTGCTTGGCAGGGGCCTGGGGACGCCTGCAACTGTGTGTGGACAGTGTCATATTGGGTCTGCTGTGCCGGGCCACAGGGCAGCACCGGGCAGTGGTGATCCAGAGATAGAACCCCAGGCCTCAGCAGGCAGTGTGTGCTCCTGAGCTATCGCCCGGCCCGAACATTTTACTGTTTTATTGTTAGTCTTCTGGCAAAGTCTTGTATGCTTAATTATACCCTTAGACAAAAAGAAACTGGTCAGAGTCACTCCTGCATGATTCTAAAGACCAGTGAGGGGGCCAGCAGATGCCAGGCAAGTGGGCAGGAGGCTGAGGCCATCCAGCATCGGAGGGTCTGACTCACCTCCAGGGCTGCTCCCCCTCAGAGGCACATTTCTGGAGAGACAAGATAGCCGAGGGCTTTGAAGAAGGAGGTGAGGAACCTTCCCACACTCCTCCCAGCAATGAAGGATGGAGTCAGGTAGCACTCTTTGATCTTCCAGGAGGAGGAGGAGGAGGAGGAAACCCTGATGGGTTTCAGGAGGCCAGTCTAGTGGGAGGGCAGGATGGAGACAAGTATTGGCAAAGCATAAGGAGGTTCTAGCAATGGTAAAGTGGAGGCTCCGAAACAGGATTCTTTGTTCAAGAAACCTGGAGGTTAATGGAAGGAGCCACATGAAGGTGCAAGTGAGGCAGGAGTGAGGTGCAGGGCCCAAAGGAGGGTGGGGTGAAGAAGGGTTGAGAGTGTTTTTCACAGATAAAAGGAGTAAGGGGTGGGG